ACAACAACAACAATAATATTTTCACAATGTTATTATTATTATTATTATAATATATAATATAACAACAACAACAATAATATTTTCACAAGGTACCTATAAAGAAAATAAATATCGAATATAGGACCTTTTGTCTAACTTTTTTTTAGGAAGAAATTTTTAATAATTTCATAGACTTCGTATAATCCAAACCATATCTTCTGTTCATTATCGATATAAGGTCATCTCCAACCGACTACCCCATACTCAAACTTATTTTGCAGTACATATCCCATTTTACATTAATTTATTTCGAACCGAAAAATCTATTCTCCAACCCAAAAGAATATTCTCGGAATATTCTCTTCTACACCAACTTTTATAATTTTTTAATACTACCCACATATTTTACAACTTTACAAATTAAACCACACTATTATTTTCAATTCAATTTGGACTTTATGTAATATACTAATTATAAAGTTATAATCATATACATAATAACATCGGAGAAATAAATAGTCATTAAAAATTAAAAATTAAAAATACAACACACAATATAATATTAAAAATTCTTGTACTTGTTTTTATTTTATGGTTTTATGATGTATTTTTATTTGGTACTGTGTGATGTTGTATTTCATTTCAGCACTTGTTATTTAAATATTTTTCTATAAATCGTAATGTATCACGTTTTAATGTCTGTATTAATAATTTCGTAGTTATTTAATGTTAGTATTTTATTTTCTTGTTAAATAAATATACCATAAATTATATATATTTTATATTATTATTGTGAAATATATATAATCAAATGATAAATATAATATTTATTATTTTAAAAATTACACTATTTAATTTTTATGAGATAAATATTTTTTAGTATTTTACATTAATATTACTATTTTGATAAATATATAATTAACATTCATTAATTTAATGATGGGAGTGAAATGCAAAAACAAAAAGAATAAAATGAGATTAGCGTACAAAAAAGGACTAAAATGCAAAAGAAAAAACAGTGAACGCATATTTTGCGTTCAGACGCAAATTTGCGTCTTGGAGGAGGAGAGAGAAGGCCAAATCGTAATTGCCGCTGCGTTTGCCATTCGGTTGGAGAAGAATTCACTGCAAAAATTGAGTTTTTGCGTTCGATTGGAGAAGATCTTAGTATGTCAAAAAAAGTAACTTCATATGGATTTGATAATTTTGTTATAGTAAAACATATTTTTTCTTTATTTAGTTAAGGTTTAATATTTAGTTCTTATATAAATATTTAAAATGTGTAAATTTGATATTAATCTTTGTTTTTT